GAAGGGAGGGGAGAGGAGAGGAGGGTAAAGAAGAGCAGGGGAGGGGACGAGAGGGCAGGGGAGGGGACAGGAGGGCAGGGGAGGAAGGGCAGGGAGGGCAGGACAGAAGGGAGCAGAGTAGCTGGAAGAGGTGGTGCCTTCTATCTTGACATTCTGCTGTATTTCATCAATGGTGGCATCCCCAGAAGGTTACATTTTCCAGAGTTTACAAAAAATAAGATTTGGAGATCCTTGAAACACACTCATCAATTACAGTTAATTTTCAAGTTTAGACAATATTTTCTAAATCATGTATTGTCTATAAACTTCACTCTGTATCGATACAGGTAAAATCCTTCCATAATAAAACTGTTTAGAATTCTTTCATAGAAATCTCGTTTAAATGGAATTTATTTATAAAGTAAAAAAATAACAGAATCGTAACAGAAGAGCCAGTGCTCCAGCCTTGGCTTAAACAATAAAAACAGCAGTCATCTTCGACGTATAAACACACATGTGCTGCAGTTCTTACTTTGCTCTGGCTTAGCAGCTCGCTGGTAGAACTTCAGTTCAGTAAAAAGAGGTCCGTTGTCACTGGGTTCCTTAAATGTAAGAATTCATTAGTACCAGCAGTAGTTAAAAATACCCAATTATTTTCAATATGTCTTCAACAAAGACTAACAAATTAATTTTTTTCCAAGCACTAATTTTGATACTTAGGTTTATAATTGTGCTACAGATAAAGTCAAACTTCTCAGAAATGTTTTAAAGATTCCCAGAACAGTCCATAAGTCTTACATTTCTCTAAGTGATAGATAATACAAAATCAGATATATAGCTCAATCTCTGTAGAAGTTAAACAAAAAAAAATTTCTAATTTTCATCTTTACTAAGCTCCCTCTTAGCAAAGCTCAGCAACCATGTTGACTGCATCACCAAGAGGCCACAAGAGATCTCTGAGATTTAATAAGATTTCAATACCTGATTTAACCAATCAGTGGCAAAATCCCATTCCTTCCGTTTCTCATTGCCACGACAGCCAGTTAAACCGGCCTGGCAGAGGCAGACCTCACCAGAGAAGAGTGCTCCAATTCCCACACAGCAAGCACTGCTTATCTAGCTCTGTCCTTTCCTTTCTGACCCTGATTTCAAGTGTTTCAAACCAAAGAACCCTACAACTTACTTTCCACATGATAATTTGAAGTCGGTAAGAAAACTGGCTCAATAACAATTGTTTTCCACCAACCCTGATGGACTACATTCACTCCGTGCTGTAAGGGGTACTGACAGTTAGAATTCCTATGTACAGAGGCGTACACTCGCAAAAAGGTATTTGCACAAACAAGCAATGCTAGCCTGGTGAGAGTTCTGCCTGGTGCGATACAGCTGGGAGGAGGGGAGAAAGGTCTCAGAACTCTGTGTACTTGTCTAATTAAAAGTGGTTAGTTCAGTGTTGGACGCTTTGTGTTGTTATTATCTTGCTTGCCGCGAGTCAGAGAAGATTTTTAAAAAGGGAGTGGCACCTTCAAATGAGGACACGAACATTTCTAATTCTAGGGTTGCTTTTCTTTTAGGGGGGCCCTGGTGGTGCAGTGGTTAAGAGCGCACTCCTAACCAAAAGGCAGGCAGTTCGGATCTGCCAGCAGCTTCTTGTCGACCCTACGGGGCAGTTCTACTCTGTCCTATAGGGTCGCTATGAGTCGGAATTGACTCCACCACAATGGACTTTTTTGGTTTTTCTTTTAGGGGGTATGGGAAGAAGTTATTTTGGATAGAATGTCTGTGTGGCTGGAGTTTCAAGGGTCAGGAGAGCATTAAGAAAGGTGATAAATGAATGACGCTCCCTACCTTAACTAAGAGAAAACTTATGAAAACATGTAGGTTTTGGCTACTGGAGACGTCTTTTGCAAATACTTATAATATACTCATAATTCTTTTTTTCATTCAAGATCCCCTCAACCGCCATGGAGGTTAATTTTGTTCCTCGAGGTTTAGATAAAACTACTCTACTCACAGTTCTGATATCTTAGCTCTCTGTGAATTCACAAACAGGAATGCCCTGCTGAAGAACTTACAAGAAAGACTGATAAGTCGATCTGCAGTTAGGCAGGACCTATTTATGAGTGAGCATTTGACAGCAAATAGACATTGTCACGGATTGAACGGAATCCCCCAAAAATATGTATCAATTTGGCTAGTCAACCATTCCCAGTATTGTGTGACTGTCCACCATTTTGTCACCTGATGTGATTGTACCATATGTTGAAATCCTATCTCTGTGACGTTGATGAGGTGGGATTAGCGGCAGTTACGTTGATGAGGCAAGACTCAATCTACAAGATTGGATTGTGTCTTGAGGCAATCTCTTTTGAGATATAAAAGAGAGAAGCCAGCAGAGAAACAGGGGACCTCGTACCATCAAGAAAGAAGCTCTGGGAGCACAGTGCACCCTCTGGACCCGGGTCCCTGCGCTGAGAAGCTCCTTGATTGGGGAAGACTGATGACAAGGACCTTCCTCCAGAGCTGACAGAGAAAAGAAAGCATTCCCCTGGAGCTGATGCCCTGAATTTGGACTTGCAGCCTACTAGACTGTGAGAGAATACCCTTCGCTTTGTTAAAGCTATCCACTTGTGGTATTTCTGTTAGAGCAGCACTAGATGACTAAGACAGCATGTTTACAACACCTGGGTCAGAAGCTGAAAATAAGGTGCTATATGTTACAGTAAGGACACTTTCCAGACCAGCCTTGGAGCAGAGTGGTGGACATGGGCTAGGCATGCCTCCAGCTCCCCAGAACTGACCAACAGACTGAGGTGTTAAGAGCCAGCTCCCCAGTCTGTGGGCTCATCTGTAATCAGTGGCCCCTTTCTCGCAGGAATGGTAGCGAGACAGAAGTTCACGAATGCTTAAGAGTCCATGCTGAGAACAGGCCTTGAGCAGTAATTACAGTATCCGCGTAAGAAAACGACAAACTCAAGAAGTTTCAGAAGACAGCGATGCAAACTCAAGAGAAGGGATTCAGGTAAACTTACATCAAAGGTTAACTGTTGGAAGAGCTCATTGATACGGTGAAACCTGTGAGAGGCAGAACCTGATGGACTGCCTTGCTTTTCCAGGTCTCTCAAGTTTTCCGCCTCTGACAGGGTGCAACTTGTCACTTTTCTATTAGCGGAAAATACTGTCGTTTTCCTCTCTGACAGATCTCTGCTTTACACGGGTTTCACTTTCGCAGGGTTTGCTGCATAACTCAGGTTCGAAAGGGGTTTTCCTAAGACAAACCTGGTTTATTACCATCAGTATCAAATTCTGACCTACTCAGTTTCAACCTGTCATATTAACTTTAATTTTCAAGTTTTCCTTTAGGCAATAGAATCACCCTATATAAATCAGGCTATTATAATGAAAACCCCACTACAATGAAGGCTATTTGAGCTCATTTCACACTTTTTCTAATCCAGTAAGATTCCATTATAACAAAATAAAGGGGCTACTTCATGCCATGCACTCTAGCCAAAGCTAGCTACTTCTACCTTAGCTCATAACTAAATTTATTAACATATTTCAAATCTAAAATACTCTGCCAACTCTATAATAGCCAAGATTTAGAAAAGAAAATGGGACTGACATTTTAACTAGAATATCACTAAACGTTTCTTTAAGACTTCTAAGTGTCAAAATGAAGATGACAACAACAAAAAAAATAAAATGTGAGATATTTCAACGGCACCATCGAAAAGCAACTGGCTGCCATTTAAAAATGAAGCTGTACAAAATTTCTCCTTCCTACCAAAAAATTATGAGATACGGTTTGAAAATTTAGGTCCCTTCTCATAACGTCAGTGAGGAAAACCAAACATCAGTCTGCAGACTTCTTTCCAGGGAACTTCAAATACAGGTTTTTATCAGCTCATCCTGGAAACCAATCATGACATGATGAACTGTTAGGATACAAGATCCGGAAGCCTGGTCACCCCCACTTCTGCTACCAGCTAGCAAACCAACGGGACTTCAGAGCTGAGGGCGGCTGGCAGAGCCAATTCAGGATGAGGGATGTCAGCAAGAAAACATAAGCAAGCTTTTTTTCTCCCTGCATTATCCAGCTTATTATTATCAACTCTGCACCTTTCTTTCCAGAAACAAAAAAAAATATAGATGGAATCTGTCTGTCATGCAGAGGCAGAGAGCACACGTTTACCATCCTTGGTGAGGCGGCACCGCCAATCCACAACTGCCCACGGAGGTCAAGGGTTAAACCCCAAAGGAAACCAGAGGTGGTCATTCGGTAGGAGGGGAGGATGCTTAGGATGTGACCAAATTTAAACGTATATGCACACACAATTTCACTTTAAATAATTAAGGTACTCTCTGCCCAAGACTCAACCAGTGGTTCTTAACTTGAACTGCGCACAAAAATCATCTGGGGGAACTTTATTAAAAATACCAATAACCAGGTCATCTGCCCATAGATTCTGATTATACTGGACAACCAGGGTGTAGAGCCACTCTTTGATATGCTATCACCTTATTAAATCTAATTTCACATTAAAAATCAATTTACCTTTCTCAAAACCAAACAACATTTTAGCTCGACAAGTAAAGAATGTACGCCTTGAGCATTATGCTCTTTTAAGAACCATCTTAGTGTCTAAGTGTCAACAGCAACTCGAAAGGTTAGATAGGAACCTTGGGGCAATGTTAATGGAGGACAACAACTGCGAAAAGGAGGGTGAGAACGGCTGTGCAACCGAAGAATGTCATCAAGGTCACTGAATTGTCCAGGGAGAAACTGTTGAGTTGGTGTATGTTTTGCTGTGTACATTCTCAACAACAACAACTAAAATAAATAATCAATTTGTCTTTGATTATTTTCTAAATAACATTTGCTAAGTTTTTTCTCTAAAGATAAAATACATGTTCATTTCAGAAAATATGGAAATATTTTGATATATTTTCTTTACATATATATATTTTAGAAAATTACCTTCATATATCCTGTTTATTATGAAATTTCCCCAAAAAGTAGCAAGTGTTCTTTTAAAATATGATTTTTAATAGTCCCTAATGCTGTAAATGGCAAATGTTCATAAGCAGCTCTGATTTTAATACTGGAAAGATCTGATATTGACTCTGTTTGAGTGCGATGAAACATTTCAACTGTAATGTTATCAAGTTGTGAGGATAAAAAAATCAGAATAGTCATGGACAGAATTATGGCATAGTACATCGCAAATGAAGGCCAATTATGAATGGGCCTACTATAAATGGCAGTAGACAAGACAGGGAAGTGGATGGCATCAGGGATTTGAGAATAAATGAATAGAAAGAGCAGTAAAAAGGTGGTAGAGAATTATAGCTAAAAAGTATTCAAAAGAATAAGTACAACAGCCATTTAAAGACAGCATAGGGAAAACAAAGTTTAGAAAAAGGTCCTTATCAAATAACTTAAAATCTAGTTAGGGAGATAAAACAAACACATAAAAAACAATTAGTGGTATGAGAAAGATACTGGCATAGAAAATTGTAAAATAAATGGAAACACAATGAGTGCTGTAAGAGCTTAAAGGAGCTCAGAGAAGATAAGACATCAGGGGAGAAGGAAGCA